TGCTGTTTGAAGAACTTTGCTGTCATCTCGGAGATGTTCTTTACATAGGGTAGAACGACTCGCTTTGTTATCGTCTGAGAGTTCGTAGCTCCGTTGTTTAGACATCGCCGGACGAAGTTATGTGGATATCCATTTAGGCGAAATGATCTGAACAGATATATCTCTTCTTTCCGCTTTGCCTCAAGAGTGCTGCAATGTTTCAATTCTAGGAAAGAGTTCGCACGCAGCTTATTGTGACATTTCAGGCGATTGCTGGAGTATTTTAGAATCTGGTCGGTGTGTTCCTTTCCTGTAAACCGACGTTTGTAACTCTCCGTCTATCGTCCGGGTGACTAACACATCCAAGAATGTGAGCTGGTTTTCTCTGATTCCATCGTAAAAGGAATGTCTTCGATTGTGGTATTGCGTAACTAGTACGCAGCCTCTACTTGACTACGTTTCAGTATCACGAATGTATCAGCGACGTATCGGATTCACAACATTGGGTTGATTATGGACAGTGGGTTCTCTTCAAGTTTATGCATTGCCATCTCTGAAACGAGCCCTGACACAGGGGGATCCCATCGGTGCTACTTTCACCTGCTCATAGATCTGTCCATCAAAATCAAAGTAGGTCGCGATGTATAAGTCAAGTAGCTTGCATAGATTCTCAGTCGGCAGCTTTCCGATTGTTTCCTCACTTTGGTCCCCCCCCCGTTCGGTGATTGCTTGCTTTGCGGTCTGTAAGTTGACAGACGTAAAGAGTGTGGTAATGTCGAAGGATGCCATCATCTCGTCATGATCTACTCATATACCTTTAAGCTTCTCCAGAAATTGCTGTGCACTATATATAGAGTGCTGTGACCCCATTCTTAGGTGCTTGAGACATCTCCACAATTCTCTCGCTAGGTTGAAAGTAGGTGTGTCTGGGAGCGATACGATTGGTCTTAGCGGTGAATCGTCTTTATGTATCTTTGGAAGCCCGTAGAATTGTGCTTTGTTCGAAACGCGGGTGATCATTCTAGCACGGTCTTCCTTTGTGATCTGGTTTCGTTCCTGGAGCAATTTCAACATTCTGTTTATTCTGTTTGTCAGTTGCGTAGCTGGAGTGTTTTCGATGCGGCGGTAGGTTGTTGTGTCAATCAGAAGCTGTTTTGCTTTTTTAACATAATCCTCCTTATCAAATATAACCGTCACGCGCCCCTTGTCCGCAAGTAAAATGACAGTGGATTTAAAGCGGAATCGCTCGGTCGCTATATGTCAGGTTCGTCCTGCCTCAAGGAAAAGTCGGAAAAAGACGGATATATGGGCGAGATAGACGTTTATTGTCGAAACGCACAATCCCGCTAGCTAAAGGCACCGCAAAATGGTCCTAGCTATGGGAAAGGTATAGTCGCCAGCCGAGACGTAGCAAAAGGAGAGCGTCGGATGCGATTCGTTTGGACGTATCAAACACACGTAGTCATGTTGCTAACAGTCAAGCTCCCTAAGTTATCTATGTAAAGAATGATATTATATTTTAATAACATTTTACACAGACAAACAGGACAATCTCCAAATCAAGTTCAAGTTCAGATGGGACTGGAACGACAGGAGAATCCCGTGAGTGTTCCATTTTGAGTGGATCATTGAGCCAGGAATTGATGAAGTGCTCAGAGTTCTTGATGGATCTAAAACAAAACACCCGTATCGCACCCTGGCTAATCAGTTAATGCCCACCTTTCCTGCCCTAGCAGTCCCTGCTGTGGCAGTCACGTGAAGTAAGCAAAGGATAGGAAGAGAAATCGTAGATACAGAATAAGAATGCACTTGAAATTGGAAAATAATACCAATGCGTGAAGAAGAGTAGAGAAAATAAAATCGAAGTATGTAGATGCGGGTTACTCAGGAAAATGGAAAGGTTCCGTGTTGCCACCCAAGAGCGTCAAGTTGCCGCTCAAATCCCTTAACCGTAGATTCCCTGATAACACTTTCCGGAAGCATGTTCCAGCGCTCGATGACTCGGCATGACAGCCGAATTTCCGCCCTAATCCGATCGGACCGCGGTTTGTCCAACTTCAAGGAATGACCGCGCAGAACAGACAACCTAGCTGGACTGAATAGCCAAGATAAATCCGGACCAACCTTCCCAGTTAAGCTACGGTAGGTTAGGATTAGGTCTCCTCTAAGCCTTCGGTAGTGCATTGAATGCATTCCCAAACTAAGTAGACGCTCGGGGTACGTCCGTCCCCTTAATCCCTCGACTAACCTAGTACCGACCCGTAGAACGCTCTCTAGCTCCATTTTGTCCCTGACGAGGCAGGGCGGACAAGCCTGGACGCAATATTCCAGATGAGGCCGAACGAAAGCCGAGAACAGTCTCGTAAAGATGCCACTCGTCAAGACTCCGAAAGAATGTCGTATTAATCACAACATGCGGAAACTTCTGGTTGCGGCCTTCTTCCAGTTGTCGCCGGAGTGTAAAGCCAAAGAGTGTACGACGCCTAAGTCAACCTGGCTAGATACACTGGGGTGTTCGACCCCACAGATCAAGTACTTCGTAGAAGGACAACCTCCTCCAATTCGAAGAACGGAGCACTGTCTGATTTATGGGCAGTAAGCATAAAGTAGACCAGTCCCAAAGCTTATCCAATGCTCACTGAATAGCTTCGGAACCCCCAGGAACATCGAAAATGTTCCACAGCATCAGGTCATCAACAAATAGCAGCGATGGTACCTCAAGCTCCGCCGGTAGGTCATTCATATTGATAGAGGACAGCAGCGGTCCAAGGACCGACCCCTGCGGTACGCCACTGAGGACAAACTGCCTAAACAATAGGCCCCGGCCTACCCGTACACACTGTTCTCTACCCCCCAAGAATGCAGTCACCCAATGAAGGGCGCGGCCAGATACCCCGTAGGTGGTCAGCTTTTGCGCGAGCCTCAAATGGGGTACCTTGTCAAATGCCTTCGAAAAGTCGACGAAAAGTACGTCCAGTGCGTGGCCGTTATCCATTGCATACGTCTAACTTTCGCGAGACACCAGCAGATTCGTCAGACACGAAAATCCCTTCCGTAATCCGTGTTGTACATTGCTAAGTAGATTAAAACTACTCAGATGACTCTCCAATGAATCTCTCACCGGTTTCTTGAGGAGTTTGACTACCACACTCGTGAGGCTAACTGGACTGTAATTTGCAGGCAGACTCCTGTCCTCATTTTTGAAAATGGCACAGATGACAGCTTCCTTCCATTCGGAAGGCAATGCACAGCTGTCAAGCGATTTCTGAAACACCATAGCGAGCGGTCCACTTAGTTCCCCAGCCAACTCGCGCAACAGTTTCGGGTGGATTAAATCAGGCCCGGAGGCCTTAGAAGGGTTCAGCCCTTGTAACAGCCTAGGAACTTCCGTCTCCGCTACACTAAATTCAGCTAGTGCTGAACCCTCTGGAATCCTGCAAACCAGCTCAACACCTGTCAAAGAGGTTTCCCTTACAAACGCTGCCGCATATTGCCCACTAAGTACACAGGCCTTGTCATAGTTCGTATGCGCATGAGTACCGTCATCACGCATCAATACTGGAATTGACATGTTTGAACCGCAGCGCCTTTTGACATAAGCGAAGAATCTTTTTTGGATTCTCTGAAGCTTCGTCCGATAACTATTTCTCGAAATTGAGCCGAGCGTTCCATTAGGTGTTGCTTACACATAGTTCTAGCCTTACGTACCAGTCATAAGTATAAGTGGACGGAGCATCTCGGTAAGTCCGCCAACATCTAGACCTCTTTGTGGGCAGATGCCTGCCAGTGGGATCTATCCAGGACGGCTGTGCTCGTGCCTCCTTTCTCCTTGTGACTGGGATGAAGGGAGCAGAGACCTCTGTAGGGTAGGACTTAAATTTATCCCAGGCAACCTGGACAGTATCATCGTCTGACATCTCACAATGGAAACCCGAAGCCTTGGCTCTCATTGATTGATAGTCTGCCTGCCATATGTTCGGGCGAGACTCAAAAGTACTCTGGTAGCGTCTAGACAGAGTACAACTGAAGAGCAAACAAACATGATCACTGGAACCCAGTGGAGGTCCGTAATTAATGTCACCAACAAAATCGAGTGACTTAGCAAATACAAGATCTAAGATAGACGGTACTTGGGCGTCCATGTACCTAGTGGGGAGGTCAATGAACTGGTGCAAAGATACTTGGAGCGTAAACTCGAAAAGATCAGCCCAGCAAACCTCTGTGAGGTTGAATTCGCCCGTCACCAACCAATTGTTTGCGGACTGGGAGCGAATGAAGTCAAGTACCTCTTGGATACGCTCCCAGGGATTCTATACACAATTACAACTGCAACCTGAGTCGAGGATGTGCTAATAATAGCCGACAGAGCTTCAACAGTTTTGTCGGCTGACTGAAATAAGCAAACCTTCAAAACGTCAAGTTTACAGCTCACATAAAGGGCGACGCCCCCTATGGAGCGATCGTATCTAAATAGTACGAAGCCAGATAGATGTACTTCACCATGAGACAGCCACGTTTCAGTGAATGCGAGTATATCGGGATGAGACCCACCTACAAGCAGACCTAAATCGTACACCATATTCCTTAGGCTGCGCACATTACTAAGCATTATCTGAAGGTATTCGCTGGATCCAGACCTGGGTCTTGCGCTACCAGAATTGGAGGAAAAGGACCGCAGGTTGATCACCCGAAAACAGATTCATCGGCTTCCAAGGATGTTATTGCATCCCCTTCTTGTTGAGATAGGGAATTGTGCTGTTTGTTACGTGCTACGACTGGAATAATTGTGCTTCTTAATAGTTTGCGAATTATCGTAAAACCAGCTGGAGTGGATTACGCTTTCGAATCCGAACACATTGAGGAGAAATATGTCGAACTGCAAAGCTTGACCCGGAACATACGAAAGACGAAATGTTGTTTACAACATACGACGCGAAAGTTGTGGTGAAAACTATGTGGATCAGACAGGAAGACGACTGTCAACAAGAATATAAGAGAGCTTTTAAGAACTAAACTCTCACTGGTTTCAATAAATACGGACGAAGAAGGACATCACTTCGATTAGAACATCACATAGGTCCTAGCAAATGGAGAGACAAAAAGGAAGAGTTCCTCGCAGCTTCATACTCGACGCAGCGTTCGATAGACATGCACACAGAGAATGATCCAGTGTACCAAAGATTAAGACGGAGAGAACAAATACCTTAATAAAAACCGTCGTGGTCAGCTAAACGAGTCATCAACGACACATCAGCGACAGTCGGGGCAAAACGCTGGCCACTAGTGGCAAGACAAACGGTGTGAATTCAAGATGGCGAAGCTATCCGATTGGCTGCATGGACGTGTATAGAATTGCGTGGAGATTGGTATTTTCTAGTCAGCTTAACCTGAAAAGGTGTGTTTGAATGCACCAATATGACGATTACTATTGGTAACCGTTGGCACAAAAATGAACGATGTCAACAAAGGAGAAGGACGTTGAGTTACTATCTGGTAGGTAGAAATCACACAATATCATTGTTCCTTCTTTGGAAAAGGATGCCATTAGCTGGTATATCTCTGGCAGCTGTGAATATCTTATTGACAGTCAAAATGATTGTTGCATTGGTGGGATCCGTTTCGCATTGAGAAGGTTCTGATCGATATTCTGGAAAGCTCTGTGGTTGTATTATGATGCCTAAAAGGGTTATAGAAGTTATCAGGTTACAGTGAAATGTTAAGTAATGAAAGTAATACAGCAGCTGTCTAGATACCGTTAGATAAATCGGTTCACGACGAAGTGAAGAAGATTTCACGGGGCCTCTCTTCTGCTATCTACAATTCAGTGAACTCAAGGCTTAATTGCACTGACAGAAAATTAACCGTCGCCGTGAGCGGAATACATCGAGCTATCTGTAAATGTAAATGTAATTGAGGCTGTCCACTTACGGGATTTATCCTATTGTTCCAGTCCCACTTGAACTTGAAATTGAGGTAGTTGCTAATGAAATAGATATACAACGTGGGAGAAGTAGGTTTGGTAAACAACTCTCATTAAAGGATGCTAATCTATGCAACACAGTACCACAGTACTAAGCACTGGTATCGAATGAATTGCTAGGATACAGATATCCCCTACGATTTCAACCTTAATTAAAGACGAGCCATGCTGATATTTAGCTTACATTTATTGCTAACCGCCTGGTAGGTTCCGTAGGTTTTGTTTGATGAAGCCGTCTGGTAAATTCGGCAGCACTTAGAGAGCTTCGTGAGCAGGTATTTACCGGTACGATTCAGATTAAGATTCAGATGGACTGGAACGATAAAAAATCCCTTGAGTGTTCCTTCTTGAGCAAATCGTTGAGCCAGGAAATGACAAGGTGTTAGTTCTTGATAGATCTAAAACGACACACCCGAAACACACCCTGATCAACCAACTACTGCCCACGTTCCCTGCACTAGCAGGCCGCGCTGTGTAGGTTACGTGAAGTAAGAAAGAAGTAGAAAGTAAATGGAAGATAAAGGGGAATGAAAGTCATTAAAATGAAGGATAACACCAAAGAGTGAAGATAACGACAGAATAGGAACTGAAAGTTTGAAGATGGATATGGTCAGGAGAAGGGAAAGTTTCGTGTTGCCACCCAAGAGCGTCTAACTGACGCTCGAAACCCTTAACCGTAGGTTCACTGACTACGTTTTCTGGAAGCGAGTTCCAGCGCTCGATAACTCTTGACTTGACTGTCATGATAGCGAGAAAGATGTTGAACATCTATGTAGCTATATCTCAATGTAGGACATGTCCCACTGACACAGTGTTACCTGTAGTAGTGAGCTAGCCCAGGTGAAAAAAGTAAAATATTTACAAGCATAGAAAAAATCTCCATGTACTTACGATATATTCTTGGATGAACCACATGGAGTCCTTCACCAGCTCCGCCGCCTATTACGGATGGGCATCGTTTCGGAAGCTGCAGTTGGTGGATTAACGGGCTCCATGGGTTATAATCATTGAACGATTCCTTCGTCAGTTTCCTGTAAAGGCTTCGTCGAATCTGGCATCCGCAAAGTGCGCGTCCAGGAATCGTTTGAATTCCGACACCGAGTTCGCTTCTACTATCCGCGAGGGCAAACGGTTCCACATGTTCACCACTCGCCGCTCAAGACACAAGGGATGAGCTACCCACTTGAGGTCAGGGACTACCAGTTTGTACTGGTGACCTCGTGTGCTGCTTGACGCACGGACATGGAGCAGTGGCCTCAGCATCGGATAAGCACCCAGATGCAATACCCGATGGGTCATGATGAGGTCCACTCGCACGCGGCGGTAGGCTAGAGTATACAGACCCAATTGTCTGCATCTTTCTTCATACGGCATACCCTGAAGACCGGGAATGAGTCGTGTGGCTATGTGTTGTACTCTTTCGAGCTTGTGTATCTCGCCTTTCGTCAACGGACAGTAGGCGGGTGAGCCGTATTCTAGCACCGGTCGTACAATGGATGTGAAGAGACGAGTGGCAATCTCTTTCGACCAGGTGCAGAAGCTACGTTTCAGCGCCCACAGCGAACGCAATGCTGTGCGATACGTATTGTCCGTGTTGTCCAGTGACTTCATGTCGTAACGTTGTATAACGCCAAGGTCTCTGACGCAATGCGTCGGGTGTAGAACTTGGCCGTCGAGAGTGTACGATCGGCCCGCTCCACCTTTACCGAGGCACAGAAGTAGCGATTTTGCCGAGTTGATAGGCAAACTTACTTCGGCGGACCACATGGAGAGGCGGTCGAGGTCCTGCTGAAGTATGTCAAAGTCGTCCGACGTATGGATCACCCTCCATAGCTTCAGGTCATCCGGTAGCCTACGTATGTCTCGTAGCACTATCACCAAGCAGGTAGGTCTTGGAGCCTCAAGACATATCATTAGAGGCCTGCTGCATTGGTCATAAAATAGCCTAGATAGCTCACTTAGCACTAGCAGCAATGGCGTAGGTCTCGGAGCCCCTAAACATATCAGCACAGACCTGTTCGACTGGCGATACACTAGGCTAGATAGGTCTCTTAGCAATATCACCAAGAAGGTAGGTCTTGGAGCCTCAAGACATATCATTAGAGGCCTGTTGGCGTAGGTCTCGGAGCCTCTAAACATATCAGCACAGACCTGCTGCACTGGTGATACAGTAGCCTACATAGGTCTCTTAGCACTAGCAACATGGCGTAGGTCTCGGAGTCTCTATACATATCAGCAGAGGCCAGTTGCACTGATGATACAGTAGCCTACGTATGTCTCGTAGCACTATCACCAAGCAGGTAGGTCTTGGAGCCTCAAGACATATCATTAGAGGCCTGCTGCATTGGTCATAAAATAGCCTAGATAGCTCACTTAGCACTAGCAGCAATGGCGTAGGTCTCGGAGCCTCTAAACATATCAGCACAGACCTGCTGCACTGGTGATACAGTAGCCTACATAGGTCTCTTAGCAATATCACCAAGAAGGTAGGTCTTGGAGCCTCAATACATCATTAGCACTAGTGCACTAGTGATACAGTAGCCTACATATGTCTTCGTCTACCCGTCCAGACGGGGGACAAAAGCTCATTGCAAGAGCACCAAAAGTGCCCATCAGTAGGCACCAATAGCTAGCTTTTTAACAGCACTGTGACGATGCGGATATGGTTACATGCAAATGATAACCGAATTATCAAGAAACCTATGGGCACAGATAACATTTCCGGGAACGTTGTTGTTCAGACCCATTCAAAGTGCTCACGCAAATGTGCCGGACACGTCATATGCGTCACGTCAACACAGCGGATCACTAAGGAGTGGGGTAAATGTAATGTACCTAAAGGAAAGCATGGCGAACAAGGAATGCATGGGCTTGTAGGCCCAGTTACACATCAATTGGGCCGTTCCTGCGAGGATTACAGAGCCACCGTCCGATTCATTTACCGAATGTTCCAATCAATGCCGTCAACCGAGCAGTTGCGTCGGGTTGGCAAGAGGGAAGCACACGGAAACGAAACAGGAGGTGGCCCTAAAAAGGGCCAAGTTTGCGTTCTCACAGGCTGGCCTTTAAGCAGTTAGGCAAAGTCCTAATCATCGGCTGCAGTGGTTTAATGACAATGGCAAAGAACTTACTGTCTGGCAAGCAGATCATGAAAGTGCTTCTTAAAACAGGTGTCTTTCCAGCAAAGGGTTCATTTGCAGTGGAATCCAGATCTACACTGAGGAGGATGCAGGTAACAATATATTATGACATACTCAAACGCAGGTTTGCAGATAGGCTGCAGCTCCGCCGAGGTGTTCGTCTCATTTGGTAAGCGTATAGGCATAGCGGGTGCGTTGTCCGTACTATGTGACACATATACATAGGTGCAACAGGGTACCGCGTCACAACCATCCGAAGTGTCTGAGCGGAAGTGAAAAGCTATATCAAAGCGCTTGCCTTCGTACGCCGGAGAAGTAGATGGGGTAAATGATGTCGTTATATTCGGAGATGGTGTACGGCGCATAGCTGAAACTAAATTACTTGATTCCAACTCACGTATGTTACTACTATGTGACGGCTTTTTGGGAAGTGGAACTGCTGCTATGTCACTGGAGCAAATTTTGCAACCGTCGGTTTTGTTCTCCACCAAGCATTTACGGTGGTACAGTTGCCCGTTGTGCACGCAATTAACGCCCGTACCTGCAACCGGTTAACCACAAGCGAAGCAAAATGTAGTCAACTTACCGGCTTTGTGCTACCGCGGTTGCTTACGCGATGGTTGGCAGTGTGGCTTATTACTTACGACGGGCGCACCTGGTGCTACGTCTATGAGCTCATCAGTTTGTTGAATGAGGCTATCGATAAACCCGGATACTGCACCGGGGGTTCACGTCTTCCAGGCACTTAATCCGAGCAAGCAGTTTTGCTACGTTGGAATGCGGCTGCCTTGAGGTGGCTACCTTCAAACTCCGAAGCAACATGGAATCCTCCGGCATGTTGTAATTCGCTAACCATCGACTACGGATAGGGATGCTTTCTAAAAAGGGAATGAAACATAATCGTTGTTTTACCCACCGGATGTTGATTCTCCTTATATAAATCAATAAATGGACGCACGGTAGCCACATGTGCCCGTAAAATGCGCAAGTGCATGTGTCATTTGTGCAGTCGATGTCATATCTATGGTTGTGGGAGAGCTGGAA